CGCCTTGTCTCTAGCATCTGGTTTGGCCTTGTCTCTAGCATCTGGTTTGGCCTTGTCTCTAGCATCTGGTTTGGCCTTGTCCCTCTGTTGGTGAGTCGGTCGACGATGATCTCGGACAAAGATGGTCGGATTTGGATGAATAAAGAAACAAGAGCATTGAGCACGAAGCGTGCCTCACACTGAGGCCTCTGTCCACGATCTCTCAGGCGGCCGAGAGGTTTTGGGGAAGGTTTGCCCTAAGGCGCTGGGAGTGCTGAGAATGCCAAGGGCTTTAGGGCGTCGTGCAAGAGCCATTCTCTTGATTTCAACGCCTGGCACAGGCTTGGTCAACGCAGTCTGACCCTGAATTCGTCAGCCCTGCAGCGCTCTTCTACGGCTTCAGGCTCAAAAAAGACGCCTAAGAATGCCCAGAAACATGAAGACCCGCCACATCACCCCACCATCGTCATTGGCCCCAGCCTAAACCTCTCGCCGAGATTCCTAGCAATGGTCCTACGGCTAAGGAACCGGAGCATTAGGTTATGAAAACGAGGAATAAAGTGGGACAGGGACCTGTCAATGGGTGTATGGAAGACGACTCTAAGAAACCCGCTGCAGGAACAGGCCCGTCGTGACGTCAACGAGAACTCTTCCAGAGGCGAAGGACACAGACGTAGAGGAAGGGGAGAGACATCCATCGCCCATGACGAAGACAGTTTTTCGCCTTGGCGCTCTAGATGAACTTCTGATGTTTCGTGCACCCTCGTTATGAACGCGTCACCTGGCCTTGAACTGGTTGCGGTATAAGAGTATACTTAGGTAGCTTGCGAAAGTCAATAAAGCCAGTCCCGCCAGCATCGGAACCTACTAAGTTCACTTCATCAGTATCACCTCGTGTCAATCGTTTGTCAAGATAGCTTGCTCAGTTGTACCATCAGGCCCAGCATGGTTCTCACCTACAAGCCTAGTCACGAGACGCCCAGCAAGGATGTTGTAAAGCTCATGGTCCTGGAGACTGACGAGCCTCACGCCGACACAATTGAATCGCGCGGTTCTTTCGGCGAGATTCTTTTCCACCACATGTTCAAAGCTGGTCAGGCGCACCACCCTCCACTCGGAATTGAGGTCGATTATCAGCATGTCGTGACAGAAAAGGGTGGCATCTTGCCCACCTTTGATGACATGGCGAGATTCGACGGGCTCCTCATCACTGGCAGTGTGTACGACGCACATGGCGGCAACCAGTGGATCCTCGACCTCCTCTCTCTGTTAAAGGGTAAGAAAACATCTCTTTCCACACAGCATGAGCTTCGAATATTGAAACCTTGTCGCAGAACTATGGACAAAGCGGCCCGATTTTCACTTCACTGGTGTCTGCTTCGGTCATCAACTCCTCGCTCGCCTATTAGGCGCCGAGGTTGGTCCCGCGCCCTCAGGCGACTGGGAGCTCGGCCACTGCAAAATTGACCTCACCAAGACGGGCAAACGTCTCTTCCGCGTGCACGACGACGAAATTCACCTGCACCAGATGCACCAAGACCAGGTCATGTCGCCGCCTACCGTGGAGTCAGCCAGGGGCCTCCTGCCAGAGGACTCACAGATCACGGTCTGGGGCTCCTCCCGTCATACAGCTGTCCAGGGCCTCTATATCCCCAACCGCCTGTTCACGTCGCAGGCGCATCTTGCCTTTGACGACCATATGGTCAAGCGCCAGATTCAGATGAGGGTGGACATGGGATCCATCCAAGACCTGGATCATGCGGACCGTGCTGCGGAAACGGGCCATCTTGAGCACGATGGCGATGCTATCGCCGCGGCCATCCTGCGACTCTTTCACTTTGACGATGACGGCATGGACTACGGAAACTAGTGCATTCGAGAAGAGGTCCATAAGAGGGCCAGAAAAGCCCAGCAGTATTCCATCAGGTTTTTGAATAATGAATAATGACATCTAAGCAACCACCTCTGAGACCAAGATGGTGACAGTCAAGACGTGCACCACCACTTTCCACTGTTAATAACCGCCAATGTACATCGACTGAGGCCCAAGAAACACTTTCTCTTCGTCAATGCCGTACCCTGCCCCAGACCTCGGCCTGAAGCACGACGCACCAAGCATCCGGATCCTCCGTCCACACATTGAGCGCCTCAACTGTCCGGTCAATCTCCTCATCCGAGATGCCGGCTCGCTTCCAGCTCTCGTAGTAGGGGTCGCCCCGGCTCAAGCGTGCGCCATAACCGGCCCCAAAGGCGCGCCTCCCCTCTTCTCCCGAGTGCACCGTCGTGCCGGCGCCCACTTTGATTTCGTCGGGCGTGAATCCAAGCTGACGAAACAGCGCCGGCATCTCGCCGCCGGGAAACCACCCATCCTCCTGTCCCGCCCGCAACACCTTGTTCATGTTGCCGGTGAGAAGCTCATTGAGGCCGCCGGCGCGCGGGTAGAAATGCATCTCGGCCACTTCGCGCGTGGCGACCAGCCCCCCGGGCCTGGTCACACGCCGCATCTCTTTCAACGCCGCTGTCCTCATTTCGGCAGTCGCCAGATGGGGAAACACCTGGGAGCTGAACACGACGCTGAAATGGCCGTCGAGAAACGGCAGTCCCTCGAGAAGATTGGCCCTCTGGAAGGAGATGTTACTCAAGCCCGCCGGAACAGACGACCTTGCCGTCGCAAGGACTTCGTCCGATAAGTCAATGCCGACGACCTCGCCCTGTGGCACGATGGTCGCGAAACCTGTTGTTATGGTGCCGGGGCCGCATCCTACATCAAGGATTCTGTCCGCAAGATCAATGAAGGGCAGCACAAAGGCAGCATCTGAGTGGATTGTCCGCGCGGCATGGCTGCTGGTCGTGGCTTTCGAGTAGCCTTGCGTGTAGTTGGTTGACATTCCGGACTGCAATTTAAAGACGAATATCGAAAGATGTGCATGGTTATTCGAAGCTAGAGCGCCGGTCAGTTTGCTGGTATGAATAGAAGGCCATCTTGAGTGATTGATGACGTGGAGGGGCGTGACCGGCCCGTGATACGGTGCTGAAGGCCGCTTCACCCGCTAAAGCACCGACGGCACGACCTGTGGGGTTGGTTTCACGTACCTAAGAAAGTCCTTCACTTTGAAGAGTCACCTGATGTAGCAAATCTTGACAGGAGCACCAGGGTCACTCAGATGCCACTGGCCCTCCTTCATTACACGTCGACCTTCAAAGGGCCAGTGATTTGACGACATGGACATTCGCCTTGTTCGTAACTTCAGGAGGAAAAGGTAGTGCTGCCGTCAATCCACGATGAATCATGGATCTCTCACGAAGACGCCGCACAGGTTGTACGGAATGTCGCAGAAAGAAGACAAAAGTAATCCTCCAGAAAGCTGCCCAAGGAGCAACAAGACACTATGAATGCCAGCTAACCCTGCTGGTAGTGTGATGAGAAGAAGCCAGTGTGCTCGCGATGCTCCAAATTCCCCAGGCTCTGCACGTACGATCTGAGCATAGTCAGGAAGCTGTTCACGGCTCCTGAACCCATCATCCTCGCAGAAGCGCCGCCCATGGACGTCCAAAGCAGGACGCAGCGAGCCTCACCGGCGGCAGCGGCTTCAACGTCAAGCCTATTGACGTACCGACCGGCGGCGTTCCCCATGCTGCGCACCGGTCGGCACCGCTTCCACTTTGATCACTTCATCGCCCACACGGTCAACATTTACTTCCCCCTCCAGCCGGCCACGACCCTCGGGTTCGTCATCCCCGTGGCGGAGACGCACGACTACATGCTCGGCGCCCTCCTCGCCGCAAGCTACAGCCACTACTACCGCCTCGCGGGCAACGAGACCTCGCGCACCTCCTCCATAGAGGCGACCGTCGAGACGCTGGCAGGTCTGCGAAGCGCCATGGGCAAGGGCGGCGAAAGCGTGGCCTTGCTCCCAACAGCGCTCCTCCTGGCGACGACGTGCCTCTGCGCCGGCGACACGGAAACGTACCGCAAGCACCTCGACGGCGCCATCCTCATCGTACGGCAGGACGGGCGGCGACACGGGTCCAACCCGCTGTGGGCGTTCAGTCTCAGGTGGCTCGTCCACCTGCTCCTGATGAACAGAGTCTCGGGGCAGCCCCTGACGCTCCAGCAAGAGACGTACGGACTGGACTGGAGCCTGCTTCTCCAGAGCATGCCCGCCTCGAGCCACGTCGACGAATCCACCGGCCTCTCGTACCATCTCGTCTCGATCCTCAACGAAGTCTGCGACCTGTCCGACATGGACCTCCTTGTGCCGGCGCAGCCCTCATCCCCTTCAGCCTGGCCGCTGACCGAACCGGTGGCAAGCAGTCCCCTCGTATCCATGTCAGCTGCCGATGCCCCCTCGTCCCTGGAAACGCGTCTAGCAGACGTCCGATCCAGCGCCCTTCTGGCCGTCCGGGCCACAACCGTGCAGGCGCAGACAGAACTGCGCAGCACACACGCTCTGTTTGCAGACGCGACCTTTCTCAGTCTCTACCGCCGCGTGCACGCCCTCACCAAGCATCACCCCAAAGTCCAGGCGACGGTCGACCGCATGATCTGCTCCCTCCGCGCCATGGACAAACGTTCCCAGGCGAATATCCCTCTTCTTTGGCCCTTGCTCGCAGCAGGGTGTGAGGCCGCGACGAACGAGCAACGACTCTTCCTCGCTGACAGGATGACGGCCATGGGCTCGCACGGGCTGGGGAACTGCCTCATCGTTCTCAGATTCATGCAAAGGTATTGGGCTGAGGGTGGAGACTCCAAATGGAATGAGTTTGCCAGAGAGATAGGCGTGGATCTGGTGCTCTTTTGACCGAGGTTTTCAATTTCTGAAGTATGGGCTATCAACCTCATATCCGCTTCGGGAACGCCAGCCCAAGAGTGCATCATGCAGCATCTCAAGACGAGCATGCCTCTTTAGCACTCAAGCATCCATTTTGTTTGATACTAAGACTACCCAGCACGCGAGCGGTCCACGGAAAGCTTTACCAAGTCATACCATCGTCATTGCAGTTCATCAAATATAGCGTCATCACAGATCGCTGTCGTCGTGAGGCCCAATCGCCAACCCCTCCAGCTCCTTGGTCAGCACCTCGAGCGGGCGGAAGGTTGTCTTGAAGCACCGGGGCTGACCCCCAATCTTAACAATCCGCACAGGTACGCTCTTTTCCTCGGGCGGCACGTCCCTGCCCTCGGCGAGGGCGCGCTCTTTCTCCATCTGCGCCACACTCTTGACTTCATCAAAGTCGCCCTTGACTCCAGTCTTTTCTTCATTCCATATCTCAAAGTACGGATAGCCGTGGCGGGCATACTCTTCGCCATTGACGGGAGTCGAGGGTGCTGGTAACCCGGTGACGGCAGAGTAAGACGCTACATCGAGAATTTGCAAGTTCAGCATGATGGATGCCGAAGAATCCCATGAGTCGGCGGGATAGGCGTCTGGGTTAATGGTCTGGGTGATGAGGCCACCCGCGGCGATTCCCATCTCCTTCACCACAGCCTTGGGCTGGGGCGTAGGTTTGGGCTGGTCAGGTCCGTGTCGCACGCTTCTGAGTACGCTCATGGGAGCTGGTGGTGGTGGCGGTGGCGGCCCGCCTCCGGAAACCATGGTGGAGCCTTCATCAGCACCAAAAGACAAGTTCTCACCCAAGTCATACTGCATGTCTGCCATGAAAGCGTGAGCGACACCGGGAGCGGCACTGAAACCTGAGAGCAACAGTTAGTAAGGAGGAATAAGTGAAATTGAGCATAACGAGTGACGACTGTGCGAAATGGCATGTCTCTTAAGATAGACCCAGCCAGTAGAATGGATCAGAGCACAGCTGTGACTTGAGTGTTGGGCAAAGATTGATTTTAGTGACCTACTTTGGAAAGGGACTGTCCTGGCGACAGGGAAATCACGGCGCGCTGGAGGTGGCCGATTCTTCACAGACAAAGTTGAAAAGTAGGGCGGGAAGTAGACATCGCCAAGCTTGACGTCGTTGTCGAAACTGATGGAGGCGTGGCGAGATCCAACAGCCGAGGCGGCACTGTCGTTGTGGTCGGAGAGGACTTGGTCGCCGAGCGCAATGTCAAACTCATCGCGGATGACCTTTTTGACGTCTTCCCACGTGCTTTCGGCGGTGATGCCGCGGTCAGCTAGCTTGAAGGTGCGTGTGACGACCCTTTGCTCGCGGTCCTCGTAGCGAACGTCGAACTGGGTAGGGGTGTTGCGCTTGACGGGGATTATCTCGATCTGGATGCCGCCAACCTTTTCCTCGCCGGTCACCTGGGCTTCGACAGCAAAACCGGAGCCCTTGGGCTGGGCGACAAACTGACGAATCTTGCCGTCCTCGGAGACGATGCCATCGAGCCAGGGTTGACCAGGGACAACCATGTAGTCTTGGATCTGTTTCGAGGCGCGCAACATGCGAGCGCGCTTCTGGCGGGTCTTATCGTTTTCCGTCATTGGGAAGCCCGAGACGGCATTGACACCGCCAACGTAGATCTTGATGGCAAAAGGATGGTTGGCGTGAAAGGCAATCCACATGGCCTCGCGCTGGTACATGGGGAAGAAAAGCCCGCCCTTCTGAACCATGTTGACAGGGAGGTTGCGTGCATAGTCGCGAACGCGGTAGAGCGGGAATTGACCGCAGGACGGCGGTAGTGCATTGATATCCTGGTTGTCGGGAACGCGGATGGTGCGATTGAGGGTGAGGGTCAAGGCATCTTTGGTGTTTCCGTGGGCGACGGTGATCGAGCCAGGGCGGCTATACCCGTGGTCATGATCAAGGCTGGGCAAGCTGACCGTGAGCTGTCTATTGCCTGGCAGTGTCTCGGTGCTGTTCTCTACAGCATTGGATTCGGGGAGGACGTCGACAATGTCGTCCCCTGGGGGTGGAACGGTGATAATGACCATGGTAAATGGTTTGGTCGGGGGGGGGGGGGGCTGCTGCTGGCGACAGATTGTATGCACGTTTGCAGGTTGGGTCAAGTGAAAAGATGAAATGATGGTACTATTAGAGAGGTAGTTTAAGGGACGAGGAAATCATCTTTTAAATATGAGTGGCAAACGAGCCGCTTGGCCGCGTGGGTGAAGCGGCAGAGAGGGGTATGAAACCTGGGGATGGCAGAACGGGATGTCGCCTGGAGTCTTAGGCTTTCCAAAGTGAGGCAGCCGGGTGAGTCAAGGCAGCCAAGAAGGCTTGCTCTAAGGATCTAAGGATCAAAAGAGCAAGCGCGGCTTCCTCATACGCTCAGGCAGGTGTGTCCTGATGTCGCAAAGATAGGCAGGAAGTGCCGTGTGTCGTAGGCAGGGCGCAACGAACAAGCTTCGTACCTTGCACTTGCAGCTCGAGCTTTGGCAGTTGCGACGGAGGCTGAAGGACAACGTTGGCTGCCTCAACTGGCGTGATGCCACGCGGTCTGCCATTGGTCGTAATCAGTCGGGGTAGAGCTGCCTGGAGACTTTTGATTGGCGCCAGGACCAGCTGGACTTCAGGCACCAATTGTGAGATGGCTATCCTTCTCTCGTGCTCCGGCGTCTTCACTCTTCTTCTTTCCCTCCTCTCCATTGTCGCCTTCCAGTTGCGAACATGACGAATCAACTGGTTGATTTCTGAATCCGTCTGCCTGCAGTCAACTTCTTTGACGCATGGCGTGGCTGGAGCATATGGCATCAATCACCCGCACCAGCTCGCCTCAACGGGGTGGCTCGAGCACATAGTCGATATATATGTAGCGCACTCGTCATCTCAGATTGCTTTCTACCGAAGCCCACGAACGGAATCGATCGTATGCCGACTCTGTTGCGAATGTGCCAATACTCAAGACTTTTTCTCGGTGCAAAGATCTCATACGAAAGCCTGCAATTATCAAAACTGGCTTGAACGGAGCCTCCTACAACTTTGGATGCCATGTAGACAAGCATCACCAAAGCCTATGGGATCATCCAACTGCAACAACAACGCCCAGCAGCCCATCTGCTGCTACTTGGCCCGACGAACATGGTCTGCGATGGACGTCTGGCGCTTTTTGTCTCCCTTGGCACCCTTGGCACCCTTGGACGCGTGCTGTTCGGCACTGCCCTCCGTCGCCGCATGCTTGGTAGGCGTGATCTTGTCTGCTTCCTTTTTCGCCCTCTTCTTTGGCGGCTCACTTTCCTGGTCGTGGCCATGGTCGGCATGCTCGCCATCGTCGCTCTCGAACACGTCCATCATTTCACCGTCGACGCCATCGAACATGTCCCTCCAAGTCCCGTCCGCCACCTCATCGTCCGCCCCGTGCAGTCCAACCCCGTACGCCTTTTTCGTTGCGGCCAAGCACGCTGTTCGTCTCTCGTTGAAGTCAAACATGGGCTTCGGATATGTGCCCTCCTCCCTATCGTCGAGGCCATTGCCGCCAAGCTTGACTCCGGCTTTCTTAAGATCAGGCTTCGGCGCCTTCCACGGCTCGTAGATGTACTTAGCGTCCAGGTCCTTCAGCTCCGGCACCCATCGTCGCACAAAGAGTCCCTCCTTGTCCCACTTCTGCCCGAACGACACTGGGCTGTAACATCGGAAGTATTGGGAAAAGAAGGCTGCGCAGCTCAACCACTGCCAGTTTCCTGCGTTGCACGCCGGCTCATGATCAATGAGCCATTCCTCAAACACCTCGCAACCGCGCTCCCAGTCAATGTAGCATCCGCCCCGCGTCAAGAAACACGCCACCGAATGCCGGCCGAGATGGTGGATCCAGCCCTCCTCCGCCAGCTGTCGCATTAGAGCATCGATCCACGGGAATCCCGTCTGTCCAGCCTTCCACCGACGGAACCACAGGTCCGCCTCTTCAGAGTCAACATGATACTCCCCCGTGATGAGTCCAGTCTCTGTGTTCACCTTGCTCGGCAGATGCCAAGGAATGAATCGACAGTACGCATTGCCCCTGGTCTGCTCAAACTTGTAACCCAGCGCTGCCTGTGCAGCAAAATACATGTCGCGGAACAGCAGCTGGCCCGTCAGGCTCTCCGGCGGACCTGATGCCCCCTTGCCAAATGCCTTTACTGCATCTACAGCTTGCCAGTAGAACTCCCTGACAGACAGTGAGCCGAAGTGCATGTGCGGAGACAAGAGCGTCGTCGACTGCGGCTCAAACGCCGCAGGGCTTGTCTGCGGCTTGCGGAACGTGGCCGCGTACTTAACGTCCTTCATGACCTCTTTCAGAGTCTCCAGTGCTCTCGACTCGCCCCCTCGGTGTGGTGTGGTGGCGCTTGGGAAACCAAGTTCTTCCATTGTTTCGATGCCAAAGTCGCCATTGGGCCCGGCTATGCTCGCGTATCCTTGGTCTCCAGCCTCAGCAGTCCTCTGCGCGGCATTAAAGTCTGGCGTGGTGTTCGGCCTTTCCTGCTCGAAGTCGACTGGCATCTCTCCCGGATCCGGCAGCTTCGTGGGCGCCGCCACGGGCCGCGGGATGTCGCCGACCCGAGAGCCGGCTTTCTGCAGCTGTGACATACTCATCGTCGGCTTGCCTCCGTTCGCTCTGACGATATCGTCGCTGTCCCACAACGTCCTACCGCTACGCATGATGACTTCGACACCGGCCTCCCGCGCCGCCGCCACGACGACGCCATCCCTCTCACGGCCGTACGAATCTGTGTCCTTCTCGAAAACAAGGTGCGTTACCTTCCAGGCTTTGAAAAGCTTGGGGAACAGCGTCTGTGGACCCTCGCGCAGTACAAAGAGCTTCGACTTGGGATTCAGCTTGGTGATCGAAGCCGAAAGGTCATTTTGGCAGTCCAGTCTGCATTGATTAGCCGCGAGCACACATGAGTCCGATGCTCGATCATGGTCAGAACAGTGGCATCGACCAGCCAGATGACAGACTTACAGATACTGCCACCGGTTCAGGCCGCCGCGCGCGCGGTACACGTAGTGCGGATCCCATGTAAACACAGGGCCACAGCACCGCCGGCTCGAGCTCCAGCGCCGCCGTCAAGGGCAGGTGAATCGTGCAGCCGCAAGTCGGTGCGGAACCAGTAAATGACTCGGGGTCCCGCCATGCTTCACCGGGCAGCTAAGTCGAACTCCGTGTCGTGATGTGTGTCTCGCCTGTTTTTTTCATTCAGCTGCGATGACTCTCGGCGCTCCACGGTAAGCGTTCAGCAAAGGATGGCGTGCTCGTCTGATCTCGTATATGTCGGTACTAGTCTACTGCAGTCTCGATCGTGAAGTCGTTGTCGTGCGCTGCCACGGGTGATCTGGATCGGCCAGAGTACGTCAGTGTCAGAAGAAACACAACGCGCGCGCACGGCATTTCTGTCTGTAAACTCTAGAACCCGTCCACGTATGCTCATGCCATTGGAGACCCCTCCTCCTAGTCCTAGCCATACCTCCTCGCAGCCGAAAAGCGTCGGCGCCGCACACCCGCTTCCTCAAACATGTGCCCCCAGCGAGCCTGCAAAGTCAATGACATCAAGAGTCTGACCCCCTTCTAGTCCCACCCACCAAGCCTTCCCCCAATCTGATCAGGCCGCCGGGGGGACGGAACCGTGCATCTGCATAGCAAAAGAGGCAGCAAGCATACCGAAGAGAGCCAGGGCGTCATGTAGCACTCCCCTACCGAACTTTCTTTTCAATACAAGATGCAGTCGACCCTTGTTTCTTTCAGCCCAGCACTTCGTTTTGCTTCCTTTTTTCATGTGTGTTGTCTCCATCGTGCGCGCGCTGCTGCAACTGCACCGCTTCGCTGGCGTCACGCGTCTCTGGACCACTCACTCACTTACTCACCACCACACTGCCACGTCCTCCCACCACGCCCGAATTTCCCGATCGCATCTGGATCCGAACCCCACGTGTCCGCCTTCAGCCAATGT